TGATGAGTCACAAACTCTCCATCCTATTCAGGCACAGTATGAAAAAACTGCACACTAATTGGCCCCTAGCTTTTCTCCAAATCTGTTATTCCACCAGTGGGCCACCTGGGCTCGGTGGACTCTCCCATGTGTCAGCCAGCTTTGAAACCCATCTCTCTTGACTTGCTGAGAACCTTGGAAGCTGTTGGAGCTACCTGTAAGTATAAGTCAGAGCAACAGGGAAAATGGAGTACTTCTATGCTATCAAAATTCCTGCTCACTCGTAACATTTTCTTGAGTTGCCAACCAAAATGATTAAGCTTGTTCTAAACAGATGGAGCTTTTTAACTTGGCTGAATTTCTCCCTCCAAAGTATGTGATACCAGCAGAGGATATGAGGATTAGCAGCTATCTGAAAAGCATCTAGCATAGTGTGGTGTACGGAGCCAGACAGTTTTGTTCCTTTTCCTTCTTTCCTGTCACTGGCTTTTTTCAGGGATTCACTAGTGATCAGCACCCTAAATAGAAGTGCTGTCTATAGATATTGCTAAGGTTAAGTTAAGTAGGGCTGTTTTGATTCCTTCCCCACCAGCTGGTTGCATCATCTGTTGATGCAATTGTGTTCTCTTTCCACTCCGATGGAACCTAGAGATGTTTATCAAGGCCAAAAGTAACATCTGGACCCAAAAGATGATAATAATTTTCATTGTATTTTTTATTACCAGCACTGAGAAAGAAGCAATGAGGCTGCGCCAGTATATTTAAACCTTTGCTTTTTCCCACTGCAAGTCAGACATGAGAGCCCTTTCAAGTTGGTTTCAGATGTCTGTCATGAGAGCTTCCTTGAAGATTCGGGTTCATTCTGTACTACAGTGCCTTCTTAAAAGAGAGGAGAGAGCAGCAATGAAACATCATGTTCCATCTGATCTAGATTTGTAGATGAGTTGACCTGAAGTACAAAAAGTTCGAGAAAGGGACAGCTCCCTCAAGCATGACAGGCAGATATTCCTTCCGTATTACAATATTTGCTCTTTTCACTATTACTTTAAGATTCTTTAAAAATTAGACCTTTTTTTTTTTTGTGCCTTTTGAACTGGAAGAATTTTCTGTAGCACTCTGATAAAGCAATATTTTCATTATTACTCACTTTGCCCTACTCTTACAAAAATACAACCTCCCATCAGCCTCCCCACTCCTCAAAACTGTGGCCTATGGGCTGTAATTCATGTTCTCTACAGCCTCATATTGCATTGCTCCAATATGCAACCTTCTCATTTTTGTTAAATTGCTCAACTGTTTTCCAAACACGGCACGTACACTTCCTCCTTCAGGCCTTTGTTCACTCTTAGAAACCAGTGCTGGACTTTCCTGCACTAGACCTTTGGGTGCTGCCATGCTATTGGAACAGTAGGCCTTAGAGGAGAAATCTCCAAGAGGCTATATCAAGATGGTATAGAATATTCACTGATTAGCTCTGTAATGAACTAGAATAGTTAGGATTACCAATAGTTAGGACCAGCAACATAAGCTTTAGTATTTGAGTTCTTAATCACTTAAAGGTTATGACAATAGGATTTAAAAGTACTCCTTGTGGAGAGATTGCTGATTATCCATTCTCTTCATCATCTGGACATAACTTAGACCTGCATTAGCTGGCCAGTTTGCTCTGTGAGGAGTGACGTATCACTTCTAGGCCAGGACCTTTCAAAGTAGAGGTGTGTCCTCTCAATGTTTGCTTCCTGCTGCCTTGAACCTGGAGAGACCTAACCTTAGCTATACAGACGGCAAAGCCCTAGGTATCGCAGAGCCACAAGTCAGAAGGAGCCTGGTCTCTGAATGATTACATGAAGGAAAGCTTCCTGTTGACCTGGATGTTAAATGAACAAGAAACCAATTTACTGTGTTTGAGCCATTGTTTTGGGGAAGGTTTATTAAAGCAATTTAGCTCACTCTAACAACTTTATTTAAGAGAATATTAGGGATTATGTTTTTACGTAAAGGTCTGCAAGGAGAGCCAAACCTAGGGAGTGGGATAGGGGACTTTCACCATTCGACACTTTCTTATGGATTTTACAAAAAACTGCTGTTACTAGTAAGGAAAGGAAACAACAAAAATTAGCAAAAACGGTGCTGGTACAAACTTTACTTATTGTAGGAGTCATTCCTTGACAACTCCAATCCTCACTGAATTTCCTTTGACTGCTTTACACTCATTGTCCTTTATCCTTACCTGGAACTTATTGTGGAAATTAAATAGCAGATTTGGGAGTAATATGAGGTGGGCCACTCAGGCAGGGCCTCTCAAGATATTCTTCTCTTCAGGGGGTCTGGCTTTCAGCTTTGTGGATCCAGGAACAGAAGTCCTGATATGTGCAGAACTTAGCAGGCTCTCAGACTCAGAGACTCATGCTAACCATGATATATAACCCCAAACGCCCATGCATAATTATGGTAAGAGCCCTTCCAGCATTGCCAGGAAGCCCTCTTGCTGGTATGAAGGCATTTGGAAAACTAAGCGAATCACCGGAGGGCTCTTTGGTGAGCAAATGGAGTTGGATAATTTTGGAGCATTCGCCATCTAGGCTGTGAATTAATCTAGTGATTTGCTCCACAGAGTTTACATTTGATGAACAAAATCCATTTATGAAATTCTCTCTTCCTTGGAGAGTGTTGCTGTTAAGACTGCCAAATTCTCTTCAAGTTTCTTTTTAGGCTTTCTGAAGCTTTCTCCTGAGAAGTAAATAATAGTGAGCTGAATAATGTTTTTTGTCATACTTATCTGAGTCTACATCCTAGATTCCATGATTGGACTGGAGTGATCCCAGATTCTGTCATTTAATCCATCAAGTTGATCACTTTAATTGCCATATATTTCTTCTTGGTCATGTTGAGGATTAAATGAGTTAAGGTTGTCTTCAAAAGTTAGCATAATTTAATTAGATTATAAACTTTTTCTGCTTACACATCTAATAGTATAAAACACCAGACATGCCCTGGTGTCTTATAACTAGTAAGAACCTAAATACTTAATGTGGTTTGAGGAGGTACTGAGATAAACATTGATCAAGTGTAGGTACAGTCAGTCATTTAAAATCTGCCTGGCCCAAAACTGTTGCCAACAGGGATAAGACCCGATATTGACTTCAAAGTTAGTTAAAGCTTCATTGCTCAAATCTAAAGTGCCCTCCTGTATTCTGAGATTTGATAAAGTACACAATGACTGTCCTTATGGTTTTTTTTTTTTTTTAAAGATTTTTATAAATATTTGGCCATTTTTTTTTCCCTTGGTTCTCCAATGTCTTTGATCTATTATATTATTTTCCTATCTTCAACACCTTCCCCTTTTTTAGTTGTCCAGATCATCTCTAGATCTGAGCCTTTTATATGATTATATTTTTTAATGCAGTGATCATAAAATACAAACAGAATTCTAGCAGCAGATACATGTTGCCTTTAATTGAAAATAGTATAAGGTTTCTGTTTTGCTTCCAGTGTCCCTTTTGGTGTTGATCCCTTAGTTGGCCTTGTGTTCCTGGCCATTGCTTCTCGAAGCTTTACATTCTCTCAGAAGTTTGGCTTTGGATTGAGTTTGGGTTCAAGAAGAAAAACTCAAAACTGTACAATTTAAATTCAAGATGGGTCCGTGCTGGTGTTAATCCAAATCTTTAACTCAGATCTCTTGAATATTAAGATATCTATTCTGTGGCCACTTCCCTTTACCCCCAACATACCTGGACTCCAATTTGAGAAGCAGGGTTTTATGGATACAATCTCTAATAATGCACTGTTCTAATAGTTCAGATACCTTTCTAAGAGAGTTGGATTATTTAGTTCTTATCCTAATTGTAGCAGCTAATCAATTTACTGATATAAATGGTTACAATGGAAAGATTAGTACATACACTGAAGATAAAAATTAACATGTAGTGACTGGTGTCTTAATTTGCTATAGTATGTGATACCTGGGTAGGAAATATTACAGCTTAGTGTCAATATATCACCAGTTCTTTTTAAATTCTTTTTTGCTTTTTTTTAAGTGAAGTCTATACTTTTATTGGCTGAACAGGCTACTCGAGGGGGATGAAGTGATAAGAGTGGGTGGCCCCAAGGCTGGGCTGGCCATGCTTCCTGGGTTTGTAGGCACGATGGAGAACTCGCCCAGGTGGTGGCAAATCAATCATCTCAGGCTTGATTTCCACCTGTGTGAAGGTCTTGCGGTTCTGGACGCCCATCATGCTGCTTACCATCTGGAGCAGAATGATGTTGTCCCGCAGGTGCCTCTTTACCCGCTCTGGCTTCTCAGTGGGTGGTGCCTCTTGGTTGGCCCTGTGCAGGCACTTTGCAGCTGCGTCACTGCAACACTGGGAGGATGTGTCCAGCAGCTGGTCAAGGTACACACCACAGTAACTGACCTGGTGGAAGGTCAGCAGCTGCTTCTGCTACATGTCCGCCATCTTGTCGGTTCTTCAGAAAGGACTCACTAGGTCTTAAAAGTGTTGCATTCAAGAGGGATTCTTGGGGACATGAACTGCATAGTTGGGAACACACACACTGGGGACAGATGGCTAGGATTTGGATCATGATTCTGGCACTCAGCAGCTGTGACCTTGGGGCCTAGGTTTATAACATGAAAATTTCTGTATATGTATTTTTGTCCTTAATTAATAGCACTTAACTTTCTTTTCAATCTTGTTGGTTCTTCTTGGCATTTTACTTCCACTCTATAACTCTGGAATATCTGAGGTCTAATTACTACCAATGTTGTGACTGTTAAGTCAGCTAACACTTCTGGGCTTCACTTTCCAAAACGCAGCTTTTTTATCTGCAAAATGGTGTTACTAATAGGATCTACCCCACAGGATTGCTGGGAAGACCGAGGTAATCCCGCCAGTCATGTGACATTTTGAATTTTACCATGACAAAATGATGATGCATACTTTGTTATTTGTGGCCCAGGCCAGTAAGTGTTGGAATAACATTTCCAATTAATTTTGTCACCCCCCACCCCCATTTGTTTCCAGGCTGCCGCCTAAAAGACTTTGGAGATTTGAGTTTCACTCCAGTACCTAAAGATGATCTCTACAACAACCTGATAGTGAATCCCCGCTCAGTGGGCCGTGCCAACCAGGAAATGGCTGAGGTAGTTAGTAGAGCCGTGTCAGGTGGCTACAGCTGTGTCACACTAGGAGGAGACCACAGGTAAGCTTAGAAACCAGGGGTGGTGGCAAGGGTGGATTGCATGGTGCTTCGGTCTAATCAATTAGCTTGTCTCTTTCCTCACTTGGAGTAAAATATCCTTCAGAATTTTTAGGGTATGATGTAAAAAACAAAAATTAATAAACAGAAACCTCATTCAAAATGAAGCAGGGAGGCCAGAGGGGAAGCTCTCGTGCGCTATCAGTAGCTCTCCAAGCACAGCAGGAGGAACTTTGTAACGGCCCCCAGACTTCTTTTCCCCCTCTATAAAAGAATTTCCTTCATTTCAGTGGACTTGCATTTGGCCTGCAGTGGTTGCATGTTCCAGCTGGCAATGCCGTTGTTCCTGAACAAACCCATTTTGCTGGAGAAATATTTCACTGACTTTTTAAGGTCAACAATAAGAGCATTTTGATGTCATAAGCTGCTGGAAGCAAACGTGGTTTTCTTTGTAGGGAACACTGGATAGTAGGAGGACAAGTTCAGAGGTAGGCTAAGCAAAGTTTTTAGGCATAAGTTTATTTCATACTTACCTCTTGGAAAGCTTTCTTGAGAAACTTGTATGACTTTCATTTGACTACTTGGGAAAATTGGAAGGATCGTCAATAGGCTGAATTCGGGCTTTTTAAAAAAAGGATTTCTAATAGGTTCGTTTGAAATTCCCCACTTGGCACGTGAATACATTCTCTACCTCCACAGTAACAGATCCTAGGTGACTAATACAGTAGATCTTTCCTCTCAGTGAAACAGCATGTACTTCATTGAGCACTGTTCTGATGTGTTCTCAAGGAGGACTAGGGATTGTGGGAAACTTGTGATCTATTAGACTCATATGAAATAAATACACATGGAGAGAAGGAGGTCAGTCTGGGCTAGAGTAGTCAGATTTCACAAGGGAGTGTGATCTGAGCTAAGTAATGAAGGTTAAGAAAAAAACAGCATTTAAGTACTAAAAGTATTGAACAGTTCATATATATTGTTAATCCTCATAATTACATGAGGCAAGTACAATTTTATCTGATTTACTGCTGGTAATCTGAGGGACAGAGGTTAGATAACTTACCCAAGGTCTATAGCCAGGATGTAGCAGAGCTACATTGGATTGGTTCAAATCCAATGTGACTTTTATAGGCAATTTAACTTTTCTTCTGAGAATCCAATCTAGCAACTTTCCCTATGGTGCTCAAGAGAGCATTTCAGATCACTTAACAGATCTTAAATGTTTGTTACAACAAGAGAGGCAAGTAGATCTCATTATGAATAAAATTTTAGGTGGAATAAGAGTAATAGTCCCAGGTTCTCTACTGAGATTCAATTAAATGAAGCAGAGTGTGGGTCTCTTGCCTCTTAGCTCAGTGTTCTCTCTCAAAGTTCGTTTATATTGTCTGTCCTTGTCTCACTATTTGGGGACCATTTATCAATGTGATTATCATAGTTCTTGGTTTTTCTTTTGTCTGCAGCTATTTATATTGCAGCCCTGTCACTACTCCCAAGTTCCTGTTCAGTGCTAAAACCTAGGCTATCTGAAAGATTCTAGATAGGAAAAGATGAGGGTAAAACCTGAACAGCTGTTGAACATTTTTTAAAAGAAGAGGCTTTAGATCACTCGGTTCCTTTTACATGTATAACATACAGGATTGCCTTAATCATCAAACCAACTTGACTTAAACAGGCTAAGATTATTACCATATAGAAAAGGAAACTGAAGTCTAGAGAAATTAAATGACTTATCCTAGATCACACAGTTCTTCTGGGGGGGGGGGTCGGGACACAACAGTAATCTGCAGTATTGACTTAATCCACTGCTTTTAGCACTAGACTATGCTATTACTCAGAAAAAACTCTATGTGGGGCATAGGGCTTAAAATGCTGTCTGTCTCATATACAGACCAAGAAGGATGGCTATAGTTAGTTTCTAAGATGCTTAAGCTGCTTTTCCCATCTATGTTACTAGGAAGCTGGGCAGCTTTCCAACCACGATTTCATCAGCTATATTCCTACAGCTGAGACAGGACAGTTGGCTTATATAAGCAGATACAAAGGAAAAGGAAAGACAAAATACAGAGAAACAATGATATTTGAATGCCATACTAATGTATATAACTTGCAAATAAACTTGTTTTAGTCAGTGATCTAAATGAGGTCTTCAATTGGCTTGCTCTGTTAACAAGTTTATTTTTTTTCCCAGAAAGTATTGCATAATCTTTTTTTCACATAATCTTTTTTAAAAGCTATAATGCTAATTTTTATCCTTAAAACTTAATATAGTTCTTTGAAAGTGATAATTAGCTCTTCCCGGTCTCCCTGAAGAGGTATTAAGCAATATTTGTGAGTTGTTACATACAGACCACATCTTTAACTGGATTTCATTCTTGAACAAATATTTAAGGTCCTTTTCTGGCCAGAGCTAATGGATCAAATTATAGGGGTTTGGGGACAGTAATGATGTCTTTCACACTTCATACCCAGTTGTCAGCTTTGAAACTTTAGAGCCTTCCATTTCTCCTTGCATAACTTACTCAGCGTTAATCTTTAGGAATTACACTGGGGACTCTGTCTCATCCAAATCTAGCCTTAGTCTGGGACCCTGACTTTGCCCCAAGGGCAAAGTATGAGCTGCATTGGCTGAAGATATTTGTTAATGGTGATGTTTGCTAAACAGAGGGCCTTGAAGATTATAGTACATTTGACCCTTGAACAACTCAGATGTTAAGGGCACCAACCCCCCTGCACAGTTGAAAATGCAAGTAGTACTTCTGATTCAGCAAAAACTTAAGTTGTCCCTTGGTGCCTACAAGGGATTGGTTCCAAAACCTCCCGTGAATACCAAAGTCCTCAGATGGCTCAAGCCCCCTATCTAAAATGATGCAGATCAACGCATACAGTTGGCCCTCCACATCCAGACTCCCAGCTGTATATCGAACAGTTACAGATACTTATTGAAAAAAATCTGTGTGTGAGTGGACCCATACAGTTCAAACCCATGATGTTCAGGGGTCAACTGTATTTATTCTTTGCAGCCTGGCGATTGGTACCATTATTGGACACGCCCGGCATTTCCCAGACCTTTGTGTGATCTGGGTTGATGCCCATGCTGACATCCATACACCACTCACCACTTCATCTGGAAATCTCCATGGACAGCCAGTTTCATTTCTCCTCAGAGAACTACAGGACAAGGTCAGTGGCCCAAAATAAAAAGAAAGTTGGATGGCTTACTGGGGTTATCTGGGGCTTAGAGGGTCTAGATCAGTAAGATTTCTGTGAAGGATGGGTTGATGGTGGTAGAAATGCTTACCACTTCATTTGTTCATTAAACGTTATCAAGGGCGAGGTCGTCTGTTAGATGCTAGGTATATAAAGATGACTAGGACATGGTCCCTGCTCTGAGGGAGTTCATAATTTTGTAAGGAAGGAAGGTGGTACTGGGTAACTATAGTTATTAATACACCCACAGCCTGAGGACCCAGGCCTCACTCAGACCCACTGGTCTAAAATACAAGTAAAAACCATGATTACCTCTAGGGAATATTTTCCTAGGCTATTCAGAAGACATGGGAGTCCATGTTAGGCATAGACTAGAATCTGTTTATGCCTCACCTCAGTGAGAGACCAAGTTAAACCAGGAATAACAAAGGTTATTCATTAGGCAGAATTCATGTTTTAGCCAAACCTGGCTGTCCGCAACTTGAGATGGCAACTGGGTTATGTTTCGAGAACCAATCTGTAAATAATTCAGTAATGTGAGAAGGGGTGGAAAGGGGCTAGTCAGCAGTATTCCTGCTATTTAGGTAAGTTAATGAGAAATTGAGACCACCTTAGGAGAAGAGATTTTTTAATTCTTGATAAAGCTATACTGTGTTCTTTCTGAGTCATTTCTACTTGTGTTAAGTTAGTTCTTTTTCCCAGATCAAGTATGTCTTGTGTTACATTAAAACATACCCTGTAGGTAGGAAGAAAAAGTGAAGTACATACACTGGGAAGCACACAGTGATTATTTTAGTGAGACCCAGAATTTTTGATGAATCCTGTTCATTTCTCTCTTCATAGGTACCACAGCTCCCAGGATTTTCCTGGATCAAACCTTGTATTTCTTCCCCAAGTATTGTGTATATTGGTCTAAGAGATGTGGACCCTCCTGAACAGTAAGTTGATACATAGGGTTAAACTTTGGGCTTATGCTGGCCACATATGTTCCATTTGATAGGTTGTTCCTTGCTTTAATTTCTAAGTCTTACTATAAAGACAAACCCCCTCTAAACATGCATTTGATTAAAAATGTTTAAACTAAGGACTCCTTCCTTTTTTTATCTCACCACAGTTTTATTTTAAAGAATTATGATATCCAGTATTTTTCCATGAGAGACATAGATCGACTTGGTATCCAGAAGGTCATGGAACAGACATTTGATCTGCTGATTGGCAAGTAAGTAACTATCTACTTCTAGCTCTGATAGGGAATAAGGCTCCCAATGGGCAGTACACTTAAGCTTGTCTCTTGGAGATGATAGCTTTTCTTTTAAAATAAAAGCAAAATGTGTGCATATAAAGAAATATCAAACAATTCAGAAAGGGAGAACATGAAACCGGTTATATTCTTCCTCTGGGGTTGGGAGAGTTTCCTTTAAGTCATTGCCCAGAATCCTCCATCTCTCATGAATTTCTCTTTAGCTCTATTTTTAATGCTTATCTTCTGAGATGAGAAGCATTCATTGTTCCAACTGTCCCAGTCTTCCCAGCCTCACTATTGCTTCATCTGAAAGGAGTTTTACATGAAGCAAATCTTGGGTGTGTAGAAAGATGGCAGATGAATGCCATCTTTGCTACACTAGTTTTAGGAGCATTTTCCCAGTAGTGAGTCTTTATTTCTGAATTAATGTAATTAATTACCACCTGGTAGTATGCTATTTCTTAAGCTGTTCAAAGAAATTTAGTTATTTAGCATATAGAAATTGTATATTAGTTTCAGCTATTGGACACCCGGGCTAAACTGAAGTTAGAATTGGAAGATAATATTATAGACATAAAATCAGACAAGTTCAGTTGCTGTTACACTGAGAGATCTGTAACCCAGATCAATCCAACTTAAGTTAGAATCTATCAAAGGCCAAGGTCATATGGAATTAAAGAACTCTACTGACAGTTGTTAATGTAAGAGGCTCTGATGCTCAGGATAAATCAGGACTATAAGTTGAGTTAGTCCGTCTGAAGCACAGAGAACAAATGGCAAAATTATGAAGTGGTATATAGGAAGCTAATATGCAAATACTCAGTAACTTCCAGAATAGGAAACCTGGAAATCTGTATTAACAAAATAACAGGACTAATAGCAACAAAAGCAAAGATTTGCATCTGGGGAAAGGATAAATGTTCAGGTACAACCAAATGACTTATCCTTCTCCTTTCAAGAAGACAAAGGCCAATCCATCTGAGTTTTGATATTGATGCGTTTGACCCTTCACTGGCTCCGGCCACAGGAACGCCTGTTGTAGGGGGACTGACCTATCGAGAAGGCATGTATATTACTGAGGAAATACACAATACAGGTAAGTCGTGATCAGCCTGTTCACTACATAATTAAACGTGCTGAAGCCTCTTGCCTGCCAGGGGATCTTTTCTACTATTCCATGTCATTGTAGACATTGTTTTTGCTTAAACTTGTTGTAGCTAAAAGTCATGTGGTCAGCCTAATAAGGGATAGTCATTTAGAGGCACGTCTGGATCTGGCTCGTACCAAAATATGCTAAGGTAATATTGAACAAAATATGTTTATGTCTACTTAAACACTTATTAAATACAAGAATAAGCTGCCAAACTAATATAGTTCTTTGCATCTGAATTGTCTAAAGGCAGATTAAGATGAAAAGGCGAGGCCAAGTACCTATAATTTTTACCCTGACATTAAGAGGTTGGTTCACTGGGAGTTGGGAATGTGGAGTAAAAGCTGCTCTTGATATTTCAAAGCTACAATATCTTGGGTCCTTTCACATAGGCTAAGTCTTATATTAGAGCTTGTTTAATAGTACTTTTAATATAGGGATACTGGAAAATGAATAGCTGACAGATTAGTAAGGTGAATGCTAGATTATCAAGACTAGCTACCAACAGGTTACTATCCCAAAACCCATTTGTTTGCAAACAGTTTCCATTTCTGTCAGAAAGCTTCTAGTTTTAAGGATACTTGAAATGATATTTAATTGCAAAATTTAAACTACATGATACTTCAATACCATCTCATGAAATTGGAGTCTAAATAGCAGAGAGACCCCAGACTGAAAGGTCTAGGGCTATAGGAAACTCTTGACCAGTTGGGATAGATATGGAAATTGAGAAGTGGTCTCCCTAGTTCTGGAGCCTACTAGATTCTTAGGCACTACAGAAAAGAAAAGAATGTTTGTCTGTCAGCTCTGACAGTGGCAAGGTAGTCTCATTCTCAGCCCCACAATCTTAGATATTGCTTAGTGGCTGGTGAACCTAGAAGTTCAATCCTTTGTTTTGTTTTCAGTGACACCACAAGAGCCAGGGGTTAGTGACTCTAGCACTTAGACGGGGCAGTGGTCATACCTTGTCCTTCACTCCTCTGCTGCAGTATTACTCTATTCCAAAAGATTGTCATGACACTGTTAACTAGGCACAAAAAGCAGTTTGCCTAAATTAATTTACAGAATGACAATAATCTAGAAACATGGGTAATGTATATTTTAAATAGTTCAAACCCTCTTGATTACTTCTGGGCTATGCTAAATGCTGAGTTTTAGTCAGTGGAATTCAGACAGAGATCATCAGACATAGGTGCATGTGGTAGAAATGCTATAGTAACATATCTGCTCATCTGTTTTGCACAGTGCACTGAACTTAAACACTGCTAATAAAGGACGCCACACTGAATGCATGTAATGGCAGTGAGCATCATATACTATAATGTAATATCAATAAACCATTAGGTATATTCACCCATGTTTCCAGGCTTCGTGGCCACCCTAAATATTCTCAGATACTTGTATTTTTAAATACTAGTTTGTTCAGATAACTCTTGAAGAGGAAAATTAACTTCATCCAGAATAACTAAAGACTTAACCCAGAGAAGTGTGTGTGTGGCGGGGGCAGCGGGGGGCGGGGACCAGAAGAAGGGAGGTCTGGATAGGTTCCTTCCATCTAATCTTCCCATCTCAAACTCTTTGGCACCAGTTCTCAAACCCTCACAGAAGGTAACTGGAGTCTTTTATGGCCAGGTCTTCCCTTGATGGGAGTCCTAAAAACTGTCAGACTTGCAGAAGTGAGAGTAAGATATGCAGTAATAACCACTTCAGGGCACACAGTGCTTAAGAGATAACAGGTATAGCATAAGAGTTCAAAAGTGGGAACAGCTCTGGCTAGTGAGAAATGGGAGAACTCTTCACACAACTACATGCAGGCATCTGGAAGGTTCCTTAATACTGGAAAATAGCACACATTTTCAAAACAAGTAGATTAGAAATTCCTTGCCCCACCACCTCTCGGGCTCCTTCCTTATTTTATCCAGAAAGTCTGACAGCTATGCCTTTTGTGTTAGTTGAACAGGGATGATTGATTTTATGAGTTTCTTTCAAAGCTACTCTAATATATCAGTGTTTTAATAAATTTATGCCCAAGAGGATGAGGTATAAGGGGCTTCCTGACAGTAGATAATTTTACAGTAAAATTGACTTTTTTTATAAACCTTGGTTTATTCTGTTGGAGTGGGATGACCCTCATTGAAAGTAGTAGTTAGGGAATTTTTGAGGTCTTGTCATACACTTTGTTCTTTCAGGATTGCTGTCAGCACTGGATCTTGTTGAAGTCAACCCTCTGTTGGCTGCTTCAGAGGAAGAAGCCAAGGCTACAGCTGGCCTGGCAGTGGATGTGATTGCTTCAAGTTTTGGTCAGACAAGGGAAGGAGGGCATAATGTCTATGACCAGCTTCCTACTCCTAGTTCACCAGATGAATCAGAAAATAAAGAGCGTGTGAGAATTTAGGAAATACTGTGTGCTGACACATGTTCATCACAATGGGCATTCCAGAGTTGTGAGATGTTTGAGGGGACAGGTACTTCATGGCCATCTGTGTCGATACTGCCTTAATGAGAACATTTACACATTCTCACAATTGTAAAGTTTCCTTTCTCTCTCCATTTTGGTGACCACTACTACTACTGTAAATGTATTTGTTTTTTTGCAGTTCACAGGTTGTCACTATGTTGGAGTACTATGTAAATTTAAAGAAGTCATAAACAGCATTTATTACCTTGGTATATCACACTGGTCTTCTTGCTGTTCCTTCACATTTGACTGGTTTTCCGTCTTTCCTCCCTCCTCCCAGTTTGGCTACACAGTGCATCCATGAACTGTTAGCTCACAGCAGCAATACGCTTATTCCACATCTCTAACACCATTCATTCACAGGGTTAAAGTTCTGGTCCATAAACCCTTCCCTGCGGGAAGTTTAATGCTTACGAAAGAATTTGTAATAAACCAGGCCTCCCAGGATGGCTAGCTCAAGTAAGATGATGATGGAAAGTAGCAGCTTGTTGGTTGTCACTCTATAAAGAGAAGCAAAATGAGTAGTCAGAAGTCTGGATAACCTTATTTCTTTCCATTCTTAATACTGAGAGGTTTAACTTGGGGCTGAGACCAGATACTGTGAAGCAGACTAAATTTCTGATCACATAGCTACTTAGTAAGTATATACAGGCATTCCTTTTAGGTATTGCGGGTTTGGTTCCAAACCACCACAATAAAGCGAATATAGTAAAAAAGCAAGTCACATGAATTTTGCTTCCCAGTTCTTATTTAGTAATGATACTGTAGTCTAAGTGTGCAATAGCATCATGTATGTCAAAAAAAAAAAATGTACATGCCTTAATTTAAAAATACTTAATTGCTAAAAAATGCTAACCATCATCTGAGCCTGTTTGAAAATGGCCCCAACAGAATTACTTGACATAAACCTTCCATTTGTAAAAAATGCAATATCTTCAAAGAACAATATAAGGTATGCCTGTGTGAGGTTCTTTAGCTGGTAAGTGACAACTTGAAAGCTGCTTTAGCTGTAATGCAGAGAAAAACTTATATACCTCACAGAAATGTTGAAAACTGGGACAATATACACCAAATGTTTTGATTTTAAAATGTCTTTAAATAGTAGTAACTTATTCTCTTTAAAAATCACTTTTCTAGGAGGGTCTAGTTAGAAAAATATTTATTATTATCTAACCATATAGAGTCATACCAGTTACATACTACAGCTGTGAGCATATGTTGGGAGAAATGTTCGTGGCAGACTCTCCAGTGTCGAAGTCCAGCTCAGGGATGGGTCCTAAGTAACCAGAAGCTGGGTAGTACCTCTCTTACTTTCTCTTCCTTCATGAGCCCAAATGGATATCTCTACAAAGGTGTAATATATAGGAGCTTCAAAAAATTTACTATCTTGCCAACACAAAGAATCCAATCTCTGGTTCTCATGTTCAGTCTAGATTGGTTTCCCCCTGCTCCACAAGGAATTTACCACTGTTTAGGAAAATCTCACTCTCCCACTAGTTCCACGGCTCGGTTGTGATTTTGTTTCATGCACACTACCCACTTATCCCAAACAGCCTCAGTTACTGTCAGCACTTACATCAACGGTTTTTTTCTTTCAAGTCAACTTCTTGCTAACAAGACAGAGCTCCCGTATAAGGGGTTGCCTCCCATGAAGGGCAAGTAGAGCCAAAAGCAAGCACTAAGCAACAGCAAAGAAAACAGTTTTTGCAAATATCTTTCAAGGAATATGAAGCTCTAATACTCCCATGTGCTGTCTTCTCTATGAAATGTAAGATGGGGTTAAAAGTGCTTCCAGTGGACAAATTTTCCACTGCTCCAGGTCAAAGTAGAATATATTTTTAACAAAAGATTTTCTGGGGTATTTAAATATACAAGACAACATTCTTTATTTCTTCAGTTTTAATAGGACCTTTGCAAGTCACTGTTTAGAGTTTTGACATTCTTGGTTAAAGACTAGCATTAAGAGACATCAATTTTATGACTATTTTTAAAACTTACTTTCTGGACATTGACCGGAGAATCTTTCGACTTTTGCTCAAGTTTTCACCTGTGTTTACCAGCTGAGAAGAGAAAATGGCAATTATTTTTCCCTTTGTTCGAAAGTATACGCTCTAGAATTTGAACATTCCTAAATGATAGTGGGCATTAGGGGGTATATGCTGAAATAGCCCAAGGAACCAAACCAATTTAAATAACAGCCTCTCTGAGTGTGAGTAAAAAACTGGAAAGGACAAGATACTTTAATACTTGTCGAGTAGGCTTAGGAATTATTATATCCCAAGGTTCCTGTGAGAGACTTCTTGGGCCAAGCTAATTCTTTACCTTGGCTACTCAAAAGAGAAAGGCTTCAAGTGTACCTTGCCAGTAACTGAAGCAACTTAAGATTTGAATTTGATCAGCTAAACTCCAGGACAGCCTCTTGAGTTACAGTTTGTTTTTGTAGGCTGGCGGATTACACCTGGCGTATGGTTATTTTTTTTTTCTTTGCCCTTTTAAGAGATACTTCATTGAATTGTAGAAAAGAGTTAATCTTTTTTAAGCCTTTAAAATCTTTCTTCTTTGGTTGCCTGTTACTAATCTATAGATAGCTGGAGGATATTTCAACAGATGCCACCTGCCATCTGTCCCCAATCCCCAGTGGCCTTAGTAAATTGATCTCTCAGCCAATTCCTTGGCTTTTAAATTCAACCAATCCACCTGATATGTTCAAAAGTCAAAAACTATACAATCTGTGCATTGCCTTCTCCATAGTTTACCTTAAATTCAGTACTTCAGTATGAATTTTCACTGATATAAGTGCATCATTCTGATTTAAGAATGGAGCATTGTAGCTGTTAGGCTATACAAGAAAATCACCTCAAATCCCCACACTGAACTAATGTTTTCCCATCCAAATCTTGCCCACAGTATCTGTTTTTCAGTTTGGATGTGCTTCATGCTATTAAGAACACTGAATTTTATTGGCAAGTTACACCATTTTAAAAATTTCTATGCAGATGTATGTAAAGGAAGAAATGAGTTTTCAGAGCCTCTTAGAGTGATAGATTAGAGGCCCCAATAGAACCATCGTCTGGTACAGCCATTGTCTGGCTTATTTCCATTTTCTTCACACAACAATCCAGCTTACCTTAGGTAACAGTAAAGAATTACAGTCCACGATTAAACCTCTGTAAATTGTCAGTGGTACTATTTTATGAAATGTGGAAAATAGCCTTGGCTCTAAATGAGAAGAAAATTAGGACCTTTTTAAGTAGATGGTGCTTTCATAAGAATAGAATATTCTACTAGAAATAAAAATCTCAGAGTGGTAATATAGGAATTAATAAAAGGATGGAGTGGCTTCAATTTTATATTTGACAACCTTAAATAAATGCAGAACTGGGTTTCTTCAGTCTTACCTTTCCCCCATCCAATAACCTCTAAATCTTAGGGGTAAAATTATTTTCAGGGAGATCTCTCAGCCACGCAAGCTAAAAACTGAGAAAAGCATAAGAACCTAAAAGGTTATATACCCTGGATTCAGAACTGCTGTAGCTTTCGGTTTAATTGGGGTTTAATGGGCCTGCCTACTTTCCCCACTCTTGCCCCTTTCCCAGTCCACCAGACTTACTCTATTCTTGGTACGTTCCAACTGGTCACGTTGCTCCCCCAGCTCTTCTATGATTTCTGAGCCAATCTGGTCAGTCTCTGTGGCAATCCGATGAGAACGCTCAATACTCTGAGTAGTCCGGTTCAAGCTGTCAGTGCCTTGCAGAAGCAACGCTCTTTGAGACTGTAGCCGATTCTGACAGGAGTATGTAAGAGAAATGTTTGACTTCTTCCATTATAAATACATTGCCAGCACAATCCTTCTGACAGAAGTATGGAAGGGAAATGTTCGACTTCTTCCATTATAAATACATTGCCAGTGCAATCCTTATGACCAGTGCTTATGCAAGAAGAGATTATAGTGTGCAATAATTTTCATTATTTTAAGACAACCAAAGATGCTAATGAACTATAAGATCCTATTCAAGGTCAGACTAAAGCAGAACTTTCAATCCAACACAGGATCACAATACCTCCCACTTCACTGCTTGTTATATGTAAGGCAAGGCAAGAAGAATTAAAAACATCAACATTTCCCTTGTTCATAATGAATTTGAACTGGTTCCTGTGCTTTCTGGACAAGAAAACCAACTAAATTCTACAGCCCTAGAAACAGATTGATTCACTGAAGATTCCTACCATTGGTACTGAGGACTGAGGGACTATGAATAAGCTATTCATTTTCAGCAAATACAGAAATCATTTGGAAGTCTGAGACACTGCCACATTCTGGGAAAAACTTAAGTGGCTACACTCTTGGTAAGCCCAAAAAGAATTTCACTTCAGGCCAAACATAGAAAACCATACCTCTGATGTTGCTACACTGGTGATATACTTTCAGGGAAGGAGGTTTGTGGGGCCAAGTAAGGTGCCCTAGCTGCCCTAACTTCCCAAGTGCCCTAATATTTAAATTCCCACCAAAGTTTTACTCCACCTATAATCCTAAGCACAGAAGGCATGAGACAGAAGTAGCTTTTTGTCAGGCAAGAACCACCACTGACAAGTGGGTGCAGCTCTAAGTTCTTAGCTATTCAGAGCATATACGCATGCATATACACACTCATAAATAGGCCAGCTCACCGGGCCTATTGCTGAGCAGGTGACTATTCTTAGATACCATCATCAAGAGGTCAAAAGATAGGTTCCCAGATCAGAAGTAATAAGTCTTCACTTCATATATGACATATAGACCAGTGGATAAGGAAACTACTGAATGAGACTGACATAAACCCCAGTTACTTTAGCTTAAAAAG